GCTCTCCAGTAAAAAAAAAGAAAAATTTGTCTTTTCAACCTTTTATTTACATGAAAGCTGTGTCATCTTAAAAACATCATGTTTAATCTCTTTGACCAAATGCAAAAGACTGGGAGGCTCAAGTGTTAAAACAAGAACTGTAGAAAAAAAGCTGCTACAAATGGGCACATGGACAGATCAAAATAACAGCACCTGACATGATGTAATAAAATGTTCTATGCAAATGAAGGCTGTCAGTGAAATGAGGCACCGCATACTAATCACAGGACTGTGACAGCAAATAATGACAACTCTAAGGAAAGAATTAGGGTAAGAAACAAGTATTAGCAAGGTATTGGTAAAATGATGTCACAATGGAGCAGCAAACTAAAATTTATGACAGCGCAGAAAGTCAAAAATAATATTCACGAACTGGGAATTATGAGTTTATGCTACTTAGAGAAGTGTTTTTTTATTCGACACTTATTGTCATTTATACACTTGTTAAAAGCATGAATATTGACATGCATTTAAAATACAAAAAACATTTAAAAAAATCAGAATGATTGCATCTGAGTTTTGAATGAACAGTTTTTGTATAAACGGTACTTTGTAAACTATTCACAGCACAGTTTTCACATTTTGTTCCTTCAAAGCTTGCAGTCATGACAAATAGCAAATAAATATTTATTATGTACATATCCTACTCTCTACATTCAAAGACAAGTATACAAGAAGGAAATAAACAATTAATATGAATAAACTGGGACAAATTTTACAAATAAAAAAAGTCATAATTGCATACAGTAAGTATCCAAACCCATTGCTGTGGCACACTTAAATTAGTGGTCTCAATCTGTGTGAAATAATAGTGTTCTGATTTAATAGTGATTTCTGAATAAATACACTTCTCTCTGTAAGATCCCTCAGTCAATAAGAGAATTTCAAATAAGATTCAACCATGCAATTAGAAGACCTTGAAGACCAAGGGGCTTTTAAAACAACTCAGAAGTAAAATTGTGTAAAGGCAGAGATTAGGACAAGTGTATAAATACATTTCAAAGAACCTTAATATCTCTTTGAGGATGGTGATTCCAATAATTAAGAAGAGGAAAGCACCCAGGCACTGTAGAGATCAGACTGTCCCTCCACGCTGGGCACCCAGGCAAGGAAGAAACTGGTTAAGGATGTCAGTATGAGCACAATGGCGACTTCAGTGGAGTTCAGTGGTTCAGTGGTTGAGATCGGATGAATTATCCTTGGATTACATCACAAAGGGGGCTTGTATGGAACTAAAAAAAACCATCAAATCCCACATGGGGTTTGCAGCAAAGCAGCTGTGTGGTACTGCAAACATGTGGCAAAAGGTTTTGTGGTCGGACAAGACAAAATTGGAACTTTTTTTGGTCTTAATCTTAAGCGTTACATCTGAAATCAACCTCAGTATCAATCAGTCAGCACCATCCCTACTGTCAAGCATGTTGGTTGCAGTGTTATGCTGGAATTCTGGTTCTCATTAGCAGCAACTCAGAAGCTTGGCAAGACAGAGCAGCAAAGAACCTGCAAATTTTAATGGAAAACCTGCCTTAGACCAAAAACTAGGACACAAATTCACCTTCCAGCAGGACAAAAATTCAAAGCACAAGGCCAAAGCTACACTGGAGTGGCTTATGAATAAGAAAGTGGATGTCTTGGAATAGCCCAGTCAAAGTCCTGACTTGGGTTCTATTGAGAATCAGTGGAAAGACTTGAACACTGCCGTCCTTAAGTGATCTTCAAGCCACGTGATTGCACCAAGTCGGTGTGTAAAGTTCATGGAGACTAACCCAGAAAAACCTGCATCTGTACTTACCGCAAAAGAAAATCACAGCTCAGAATATTATGCAATATATTTCATACTTTTGTTTTTGCTGCCATTCACTGTAATTTATCTTATTCTTAGAACTCTTTAGTTTGAATTTAGTTTGAATATTCAGGTTTTGATTAAAATATTACATTTTTAAAAAAGCATGTGGAATTTCATAAAATGAGATACCATAGGATGGGTATGAATACAGTATATTTGCAAGGCACTATATACTAAATGACACAGCAAATCTATCACTCGTTGAATATATGTTCTTAGAAAAATCTTTTTTTTAATTAATTGATCATTCATGACTGATTGTGATTGTGACATTAGGTGTTGCATACAGTAAGGGATAAATCACCTCCTTAGTAAAAGAATTGATTGGGCAGAGGTGATAAAGTGATTTAACCTGTCAAATGATAAGCCTGGTGGAAAACAAGAAAGATAAACACAGAAAGGATGTTTTGCTGTGCTGTGCTTATCGAGAAAACAAGTCCTTTGTGGAGCTCCTGTAGGTCCTCCTTGGCTTTGAGTCAAGGTTTATGTGGAAAACCCTGACAGACTTTAGCGAGTGTGGTGCAGACCTACAGAGAGAGATGTTGATTGATATGAACAAGATAAGGAGGGTCCAACTGTGCTGGTCTGCTGGTGTGTCGAGTTTCACAGAACTCCCCCTGTAGAGGTGGATGGAGGCCTGGCTGCATGGTGCTACACTGATCAGGCCCGAGGACCTCACTTGCTGCCCTACCTGTTGGCTCATCCTCATGATACAACTTTTAGGACGAAGCAAAGCTGCAATGTGTGATGTTAATGGAACACGATGTTCTCAGTTTCAGTCTATGACTTATGATAATTATGTATTAGTACAAAAAGGCTACAAAAAACAATATATATATGTATGTATGTAATACAGCATATTCTAGAGTTATTGGACAGTGGTTGTGCTTTAAACTCATTTCAATTGTTTTTGACAAGTTTTATTCATCTGCTCCTCCAGTAGCTTAAGCTTGCGGATAGTATGGCAGTATGAACTGTTTTTTTTGTGGGTTTTGCTCAAAGTAGCTATAATTGAAATAATTTGTTCTTTCTTTGTTCTCTCTTTATGTGTGAAGATGAAGTAGAAGGAACACTTTTCTTGGTTGCCGTGTTCTTCATAATGAGTTTATAATGCTAGAATCAAATGCAGAAGTCTGAAATTTAATGCCAGATATTTTCCAGATATTTTGACCCGCCCTGTAAGCAAAACATTAATTTAACATCAACAGACGGTAGTCTATCTATAAGTCATCAGATTTCACATACACAGTGTAAACACAAGAAGTTATGAACTCCTGTGAAAATTGAATGGGTTACTAAATGAAACATGAATTTATGTTTGCTAAATGCAGCCTATTTATTCTAATGTTTATACAAATACATTGTATCATCAGAGTGAACATGGCATCACACTGAACTGAGATTACACGAACATGAGGAAGTGTTCACCCTGCTGTGCAACATGGGTTTTAATTCCAGATATTTTTGGAATATTGTTTCACGATGTGTCTCTCTATCATAGTGATCAGACAAACACACAATGCTACAATTTACGTCCGTACTGTAAGGGGTTTTCGTTCTAAAGTACTTTGTGGATTTTTACAGTGCTTGCTTTGTGAAGTTCATATTAGACACTCATAAAAAAACAGAACAGATGAAGATATATTCAATTTGTTTACCCACTGAGTGATAGTTAAAACATTTTTGGAAAGTGTATTATTGAGGGTCTCGTCTAGTCTAATAAATTCCCTAACTCCAAATGTAGCCCATACTACTACAGACACCTTTATCTGCAGTGTTGCTCTCCAGACAGTGAGACATGACTCCTGACCCTCTGTCCATTGATTTCTGTAATAATTGCTTCCTCATAGACCAAACTTTTCAATTTTTTTACTTCGACAAAGCAAAGCAAGCTTCTCCACTATCCACTGTCTAGACATTGTCCTTGGGCAAAATGTAGCCTTTTTAGTGCGACTTTGTCTGAAAATAAGTGTTCTTTCCTGTGGTGCATCTCTTAGCCTCGCTTTAATAAGACAATGACAAATAAATGAGATGGGGATTTATTTGTTTTCCTGGTCTATCATCCAATTTGAACAATTTGAAAAGAATAAAGGTGTATGGTGAGCATAGTATACAGGTTTGATGTAAGCATTTACAGAATTTTGTCTTTATTTTTTAAAGAAGTATATCCCAAGAGGTTTTAATACAAAAATGGTTACAACTTCATTGTTCTGTGATTCATTTCTCTCATGTCTGGACAGCACAATAAATTGTATAAAGCTGGGTGTGATTAATCTGGCCTAACACTTCAAATAAATATGTAAATCCTTGTGAAATCTTTGAAATATGAAATAGGAATCTAACCTACAATACTTGCTGTTTGTTAATAGTTTTATCTAGACATTTTTTCCTCTTTTTAGTATGCAGCACGTATACCATGCACAGTAGCACGGATGTGTCCAAATAGCTGCAGTTTTATGGAGGAGGCATATTTATGAAATTATTTGAAAATATATGATATTTTAAAAGTTTTCTGACAGCTTACAGAATACCAAATCAGCCAAAGCTGTGATTACATCAAATAAGCTTTTTCCTGTGTGGTTTCTAGTGTAAGGATAGGAAGCACATTGGAGGACTAAGTCTCAAAAGCATTAATATTTATGTGTTAATGAAGAACTGTGCGAAATATTTACATTCACATTTCTTGGAAGTACAAGTGCAGTACTGCGGTTGAGACGCAAATGAAAACAGACAGTTCTTTGATCAATTAAAATCATTGATGAAAAGGTAAAAAGGGAGTCGGAGATTATCGACTGGCCGCTGTGTCATTTACGGCAGACGTTCAGACATTCAGAGAGAGTTTGTTATGGAAACCTATTGCGATCTGTAATGCATCGCCCCACATGGCCTGATGCATTTTTATGTAAAAAATATTGTAAATGGTGGGTGTCTGCCTTGAACCACATTAGGTTTGCTAATAAACCAAAATATTTTTGGGCAGATGAAGTAGGATATTTTCCCCTTGATACAGCTTAAATTTAATGGGATGGAGGGGATTGTTATGTTGTTTTTTAAAAAAGAATGTGCATTTTACCGTTTGTGTTTTATTATGACCTTCCTCTTCATGTGTTCCCAGGTGTGCTTGCCAAATGTCGGTACGTGTACTATGGAAAGCATTCCGAAGGAAACCGATTCATTCGCAACGACCAGCTCTGACTGCTCGGCAGTGGCTTCATCTGAAGAAGAAAGTGAGAGAGAGTGAGGTGGTGGTGGGAAGTGGGGGGAGGGGGGCAGTAAATAAACAAGCGAGTAAAACACATATCACCTTTCCATTTTGAACAACCAAATGCAGGCCTCTAGTGCCTTCTGCTGACTTTGCCAGCTCTGTCAAATCCATCCTTCTGTCGCTGTCTGAGCAGTCACATCAAGATTGACAGGACTGCCTTTAAGCAGCTCCCTTCCGCCACAGTGACAGACAGCTGCAGCCGAGTGCCTGGACTGACAGGATGAGCACCATGATGGATTGCCTGGCCCAACGGCTGCTCAAGGAAGGACAAAGGTCACACCTGAGGCTGCTCTGAGTATGCGCACACGCCTCCGACAGGCTGCTTCAAAGTCAGAGCAGGAGTTATGTCACCACGGCATCTTTCTGCAAGAGAAACTTACAGACAGCACCATTTTGCTTTTTGCATTGCTGGATATATCGGTGATGGTCGACTGTTCCACATGATTGTTATTCAGGCATCGCGTTATGGGGTGTTCACTTTTGTTACGTGCTACATGACTTTCACATCAGAAAGCACAATTTGTGATTATTTTGCATAGTGTATTATGCAAAGCTAAGGGGGAACTGCACCTCTGTTTTTATATTTCGGGGTTATAATGAATCGCCAATGATGAGCGCATTTCAAACCACAACGAAACAATCAAGTACTGTACATGGTAACATGTACAATCTCCAAATTACATCACAAGAAAGTTTCAGTGTAATTTATAGCACCATATTGCCTTCATTTCTGTGATTCAAAACGAGGCAACAAAACATCTAATGACAAGCAAGCGGCCCTGTTACATTGTAAACATTCTTTAGACCAAACGAATTTTGCTACTATAGTAATAGTAAATATTTTCATGAAACCGACACATACACGGCAACATGTTTTTAGATACTTTTAACTATTGCAATAAAAAAGAGCAACCTTCCAACCAGATAACATACACTTATAATAATTAACGTTATTAGAAGACCATGTTTCTCATTTGCTTACAGTGACTAATGAGCAGGAAGGGCCGCTTTATGTCACAATTCACTCAGGCTTTCACTCTTGACCTGTGGTAACACCAGCAGTTTCTTCTCTGCCTGCAACAACCTGGCGACCATACAATAGTTTCAAAAAGTTCACTATTTTACACTTAATTTGAATTTAGTAAAATTTTGCAATATTGTCAATTAATTAATTTTGTTCCTGAGATTTAAAAACCAGCCTGAGAAATTGTGACTGCAGTTCCCCTTTAAAAAAAGTGTAAATGAGTGATTCTTAGTCTTGCGTTTGTTCTTTTTTGTGACAGGGAGTTTAGATTCCTTAAGGAGTGCATTGTAAGTCAATACTAGAAATTGAATACAATAAGCTGTCGTTGCAAAATGGAAATAAATGAAACCAGAAGTAAAGTTCTGACATTAAATTTGGCTAACAGGAGTAGGATATATATTGGCCTACTGCTTCCATCCTTAATTCAAGAAAGAATGTCACTAAATCTTAAGTTGCTAAATCCTTCTGTACAGTTGCAGTATTAATCATTGTGTAGCGTACTGCATATCTCACAGTATCTTAGCTCAATAGACACATATCCTGAACACTTACCATGAGTAAGCAGACACCAGCTGTCCACTCCAGCGGCCTGAGAAACAAGCGATTGCTGGCTGTAAAAGGAAGCTCTGGCAAAAGGCAGCCTCTGTCTGCTGGCAGCCATGCAGTGAACAGGAGATTCTTGAGAACAATGCTATGAGAGATTCTAGAAGAAACAGGTGTTCTTTTGCACTTGTCTATATATATATTTACTTATGTCACGTCACTGTATACACAACCAAAAACTCCCCTTTTCTCATGGAAAATGAACACATCACTGTCAGTGTGCCCATTGTGTAACATTGGGAGGAACTGTCTTTTTTTTATTTTACTGTTGTAATGAAATAGATGTCAGTGATTATGGACTCACTGTTATCAATGGAGTTTGGGTTTTAAGAATGCAAGAAGTAGGCTCATCACCTCATCTGTACAATTATTCATAAATTTGTTTCCTGTCCAAATACTTCTATTGAAATGAATGGTGAACTGCACTCTTTTGCTATGTTTTATGTTTTAAGAATGAATAAAGGTGGTTAAATTGATGGAAAATGTCTTGGTTAAATGTGAAAAAGTGCACAAGAAGTCTGAGCTAACTTTGATGCAGCAGGCGGTTATATCACTATAAACTTGTCTCACTGCGCCAGTCGGGTGAACTATTAACTGGTGACGTGGATCACCTGGAGACGGTTATTGACCATGCCCATTCCAGGTGTTTCTGGTCTGGTGAGTTCTGGGCTCTGTCATTGAGTTTAAACTCTGAGCCCCTCAAGTCCCTATGTTTTGTCTCTGAACCCTTTGAGACTTGTTCTTGACTTTCTTCTCTGAGCCCCTCAAGTCTTTGTCTCTATGTTTCCGGAGATTGTTTCCTTAGCTGTGCTTTGTTGGGACCTCATCTCTCGGATCACCCCAAGATCCAGAGATCAGCTTTGTTTTCCTACACTGTGTATCTCATCTTGGACCTTAGCTTACCCCTACCTTGTCTCCCAGACGTTCCTTATGTGCTATGGACTCTTAAGCTTAACTTGCTCTCACTGGCTTTGACCCCTGCTTGTTTGCCCACAATCTCAGGCTGTGTTCTTACCCTCTTTTCCTAGCCTGCCAAAGCACGCTGCCTGTCTGTGCAAACAGCAGCAGCTCCCTGAATCCCGTGCTAGCTACAGCACCACGCCTGTAGCTGTTTAGTACAGTTCCCAGTGCTTGTGTCCATTGTCAGGATAGGCTCCAGCTCCCCTGTGATCACGCACAGAGTAAAGTAGTTAGAAAGTGGATGGATGGTAAAATTGATTTCATAATGGATGTATTATTGTGTATATACCATTAGTCCTTCCTATAAGAAGATGGAGGGAAAAAAAGGTTCCTATTAAGAAGCAAACACATAGCTCATTGTTCTGCGTTGGATGCTATAAGCTTGTTGGTCAAGGGATGGTATCCCGTTTATCCATCTAACCATTTGAAGATTCAGCTTCGGATACTGTATGGGCCAGGTAGTTTGTTCCAGACTCCTTGAATGTGCTTTTTCAGTCCTGTCAGAAATTCAGTTCCTTAAATCCAAAATCATCCAGTCTTGACTTATCCCAATAAAAGCATTGTTTGAATCATATCTTGTTTGAAACTGTGGTTTCAGAAACCAGTTAGAACCGGTCTTTGATTACCCTGTACACAAGGCTAGCAGTATGGGTGATCTTGGTTTTTGAAAACAGCTTTAAGAAGAAGGCAATAAGGCAATGAGAGGAGGCCATTTGGGTCATCTGTCTCTTTTGGTTGCTTATAGCTAATTGACCTCAGAATCTTATCCATCCCTGAAGAAGAAAGAGAATATGCTGCCACAAAATGGCTGGATAGCTTGTTCCAAACCCCCAAAACCACCCCAGAAAGAGTTCAACCCAATGTTTTCTACTAAGGATAAATCAATATCCTGATCTCTATCGTAAACTGTTCATTCTGAATTGTTTACAAGATAAAATTCCCCCTACTGTACCTCTTAATTAAATTAATTCTTATTTAATAATGTTTTTTATGATGGTTAAAACTTTGTTTCAGACTTAAATAATTGGCTCATTACATCCTTTCAATTACTAATGTTTTTTTTATATTCCTAAGTCATTTACCCATAATAACTTTTACAGATATCTAATGGCATAGATTAATCATGTCATTAATTCTGTGTTTAATATCGGTGCTGGAATTTACATTATTTCATACTGGCACGAGTTCCAAGCAAAGAGATTACTGGTGAACACGAGCCCCATCTTCAGCTTCACAGATTTGAATTTTGGCTTTTAGTTTTTGAGGAGCCCGTTTTTAATTAGCTTTCTTTTCTAATTACTGCTATTATTTAACTCTTAATGGGGTCTTTTGCCACATCTTTGCAGACTGTAGCTATTTTGTACACACCAGTGCTTACAAACAGATTACGTAGCTGAACCGCCTGAGCACTTCCCACAAAGGCTGCATTGCAGCCTGGGCACACGCGTGAAAAATGGTATTGGCTGAAGGAAATAGGAATTCATCTATGTGAGATGAAGAGGGTTGGCTGGCCACGGAGACACACAAACTGCTGGCGGAGAAATCCAAGAGTGATGCAGGTGAGATCACAAAAGGACACAAGGAAATAATCGTGGGCTGGATCAGGCACAGGGGACAGAAAGCTAGTTTCTCTTACAATCCTTGAAATCTGGTGCGAGAGCACTTACTGGAAGCAAGGTCGCTCGAATAACAGAGGCCCTGGGCAGTGGCAAGTGGAGGTTAAATATTTGGCGGTTTGCTGATCAATTCATTGCAGGTGGCTGAGAGAGACTGTCATGCCTGGTTCTGGTAGCAGGACTCTGGTGGAGTTGAGCTCCTCGTGCGAATGTGGCTGGTCACCATGGAAACTGAGGATGGGGAGCTCCAATCCACCTGGTCTAACACCAATATGGAACAACGGATGTAAAGAAATATTTTTTGCTTCCTTCATGAGAGAATCTGATCCCAATTCATGAATTGCTCCTTTAGTGACATTCCCGATTCATATTAGTAGTGGGGAATTCAGGTTCACTTTTACTAGATTTGGAAGCTCCAATTCTCAGTTTAAATCCACACAATTTCTTGGATTTATTTTAAAATGGGACATATAAAGGCTTCATAACTTTTTAATGCCTTTGATTTGAAATATTTTTTATTTGTAATGAGACACTTGTTTTCTTGGACTGAGTTGGTAGTGAATAGTAGGGCCCACCGATATCTCATGATTAGCTAACGTTCCTGGCAAGTAAAGTAACAGTATGCTGAACCTGAAGAGCAGGTTTTTGAAGATTAAAGGCAGTTGTCAAAGTCTGAAAGAATATCTTCATTGCAATAATATTGTTTTTTCAAGTATATTACAGGCAAATGGAGTTTGGCACATTCTTCATTTGATAAAATAAGCACACTTTGTACCACAACAACATAACATAACTTTATTAGCCCTATACAATTTTTTGCGTTAGTAATTCATCTTTTCACAGTTCTCAGAAAAGTTCTCAACCTTTCCTTTCTTGCAGACCCCTTTTCAAGAGGTTACTCTCAATGAGAACCCCAATCTCTAAAACCAATTCAACTTTATATTTAGTCTAACTTTACTGTTAATTCTAAGATATTTAAAGTGGGTATACACAACACAGCATGATCTGAATGCTGCACCAATGGTGGGTTGAGGTGTGGGGGTGTAAAGTCTCCTCTTCATTTGTAGAGACCCCCTGTAGAGCCCTTACCACATTACTATGTAATCATTCGTAGAAGCCTATAACGTGTACAAATCAGGATGTTAAGCAAATGTCCTGAGAAGATCAACATTCACTCAGCTGATTATGTAGCATAATAAGCTTTATAAAATGTAGAGAAAGGAAAAGTTTTAATGCGTCTCCAAGTGTGAATATGTTCAGTTCCAAATAAGAAACCAGGTATAATTTTTACATAATAGAAGAGAGAAATTAAATTATCTTATATGTGAGTGAATACATGTATTTAATGTAATAATATTAATGCGATCCTATAGTCATATGGTAGAGCTCACTGTTAGCTGTTTGTCATTAAAAGCTATTAATATCATTCCTCATTTTGGTTAATTGCCTTAAATAGTTAATTAAGGGTAATTAGGTTTTACAGATCAGTATGTATGTCTTGAAATCTATATTTTATTATTTATCACTTAAATGTGTATGTGTAAGTAAAAGGTACTGTATGTATTTTAGTGTAAGTACCACTGATTAATGTAAATAGGCAATTAGCAGTTAGCAAGCCGCAGTCTGAGAAGAACAGAGGAATCGGTTTAAGTCAGCATAAAAGCAGGTGGACGTGCACAGGTCAGAGAGCTTTCTGAAGCTTTAAAGTGAGGATGTCCTTGTCATGGACGACCGATGTGTGCAAGTTTCGTTTCATGCAACTCAGCTCTTAAAAATTTAAAACAATCTCGTCAGTTGAGCCATCCAGGACAGGGAGTGCAGATCATTGTTTTTGAGGATACTGTAGCTTCGCAGCTCCAGTTCCCTAGTGCCAAAGTCCAGCAGGGTTTCTAGGCCATTAACTTCAGAAGACCTTTGAGAAGTGTTAAAATGGTCCAATTAAGCTAATGATTATCTCAATTAGGTCATTCAGAGCAGATGTGCAATGAAAACCTACAGATACGGTGGCCCTCTTGAGCTAAACCTGAATGCTTCTGCTTTAGAGAGTTGGATTGACAGGACTGAAATTGTAACCTGCTTGAGCTGGTTTGCAGTTACTTTATTTTTCAGAGAACGCATGTTTTTAATCACTTTTTAATGGGTTTGTCATTATATTTGTATTAGATTATCCAAGGTATTAGATTATCCTTTGTATACTACTGCATAACTCTGCATTTTCCATAACTTTCCTTCTTGTCCAAGCTGTGACCAGCCTGCAAAGTCAAACAAGTGACATGATGCTAGGTAATGTGTAATTGTAATGATTACATTTGATTGGGATTTTCTCCACTTCTTCCTTCAATCAAGAGAGTTATTTTATACCCTAGAAGTACATGTAACATATTAAATCTTGTCAAAGGCAGGGGTCGCCAAACCCAATCCCAATCCAGTTAGTGGGGAACACTTGTAAGTTGTTTATCAATTTATTCATTCAATTACTAGAACTAGAAGTTCCTTGAGAGGGTTGAGGTTTTTAATCTTTCTGATCTAAATGACCTCAAAATTACTCGATCAAACAAATCACCCTGTTACGTAATCAAAATTAAATATCTCCAAGCCTTCAGAAGTTGGTGACTCAATGGTTAATCTTAAAACCTGCTGGATTCAGGACCAGGCCTGGAGACCCCATGACTAAGAAAAAGAAAACTCTGTAAATATATGATTTAAATGTGTTTAAAAGGATGCATTTATCAAAGGGGAACATTCTGAAATGTTTTTTTTTCTCATCACAATCACATGCTTTGTTTAGTGTACTTGCTGATGCTTAATCAGTCTTTCTGTAGCTGTCTTTCCAGTGTGCATGACCAATTATTCCAAATACAATTTTGAGACATCTATGAATGTGAAGGAAACCATGTGTAGCTTGAG